TGCTCTGTTGGATGTTGGCATCAAACAATGACCAGCTATAGCCTCTAAAGGTTTTCAACTCCAGTCTAATTGAAATATCACATTTTCAGCTCATAGGAGACACAAGATTTGTAGGTCAATTTTGTTATACGATACAAAAAGTTTCATTTCCTATTTGATAGAAATATCATTCTAAGTGCATTTCCCACATTTCAGAAAATATTATCGCTTCAGATCTCATTGATTTAAGTGATTGACATTTTCAAAACGTTTCGCTGGCAGGAATCTCCATACCCAGAGAGCCTTCGTTGAGATCGAATTCATCTGGATTTACCCATAAAACTTAAACTTGTCTGGTTTCTTATAATGACAAGTAAACATAAAATGAGACAACAAATCTTTGAAATTGTCCATAAACGTTTTTCAACACTCTGCGTAAATGTTCAAACTATGAAAAAAAAAAACAATTGGTTTATTTCTTAGTGTTGAAAATAGTGATCATACTTTCTTGAGTTTTCTACAAAATTATTATCCATTTTTGATCAAAAAAGCACTAATACTGGTACATGGCCATATATAATGTAATATCACCGATATCTAAGTCGTAATCACAACAAAACTGATTCACCCACTGAGCATCTACTACTGAAGAGGTTAGGAAGCCACCATTTGCGTGCAAAAACTTACTATACCACGCACTGTTAACAGGATATAATTCGAATATTATGATGAAAATAACCTTCAAACCCTTTCTTCTCCCTTCTCTAATCACTAGGGTGGGTTGTGGCTTCTTTGAAAATGTAGCAAAACCTTTCAGAATCATACCAGTGGTTTAATGTGCGTGAAAAAGTAGGGAAACACTTTTTTGCATCTTTTAGGGATAATCATGCTATAACTTGGAAATTTAATCTAAACATGTCTTAATTTGAGGCTTATCAAATCATATAATATGGGGATGACAAACTACTTGGAAAATTAAAAGAATTTTTTGAGAGACGAAGAGCAAGAAATTCCTCCAAAAATTCCTCCTTTTCACATTTTTCTAAAAGCCGCTCAGTTTTAGGTAGTGGGAAACATGAAAAAGAATTGGAAACGTTACCTTGCGGTAGACTCTGCTAAAACCTAATTTCATTTATGTGAAACACAATTATTCCAATCATAGTTAAGGCAATTAACACACTGATCACAACTCCTGTAACTTTGCTACACGGAAACATATACGAGCGATGATATCTGCTATGAATGGATAGCAAATCCACCAGGAGTTGTTTCAAGCGCTCCGTGTCTTGCTCCAACCTTCTGCACCTAAGCTCTTCTTGTTTAAACCTGTTTTCAAAGATCCTATATTGCTGTCGTTGCTGTAACAACTCATCGCTTCGCTTGTCAAGCAATTTTCGCAAATCTTTGTGATGGTCTGCGGAGCCTCTTCGTCGCATCGAGGCCACCGGGAGACTACCTCGACGTCTTCGCTTCATGGCGAGGTCATAATTCATGTCTTCTGGTTTGCCTGGGAGAAAATAGACTAGAAATCATTAGGTATACAATAAAGTTCCACGTTAATAGTTGTTTCCATCTTTAGGTCAAACAAGGCTTCATTAGCTGCCCTGATGAATCACAGAGCAGCAGCTTATTTAATCAGAAAAGCTCGGAAAGAACTGAAAGGAGGACGTTCATTGACACATGTTTGAGGAGCTGAACATAACCAATTCTGACGAGCTAACCTCAAAGAAGACCAAACTTAAAATTATAGATTGATTGGTATACCTCCTTCGAAACTCCCGTCTGCATTCTCTTGTTCTTCGGTGATTCCGACATCTTGAACTGCAGAGCTCCATTTATTTCTCAAAAGTATACTTTTCATCTTAGTTATTTCTTTCTGCAGCCTTTCTTTCGTTGCATTTGCTGCATCTCGTTCTTTCCTCATCTGGTTAGCTCGTCTTTCGTGAGCCGTCATTACAATTTCCACTTCAGAGAGTTTTGTTAACAGGCGTTCAATGCACAGCTCTGCAGTGTCACCGTCGTTCTGTTCCACAACCTGATGTGCTGATGGCATTTCCAGTAACTCGACTGTTTATAACAGATAAGCATCGTAAGTTTCATAAGTACCGGACTTTTTTCCGCGCTAAATCAATAACCTTTTCTCAACCGCTTGCGATGTGCACCCTAATGGGAAGAGGGAAGGGAGAAGATAGGCGCGATGCCGGACTGCTTTCTCTTATAGTAAACAAACATTCGCATGAACGGTGTTGAAAAATGCACAGCAACTTAAAATCACATGAGATAGAGTTATCAGCACTCCTATGACTACAGCGACCATACTGTACATAAAGGGCATATCTGAAAACATCTCGCGCATCCTTCAAATATTCATTATCCGCGTCGCTCACAAACCCACACTACGTCAGTTACTGACTTACGTTAAAGACAAAGACGAACCAAGGAACGGACAGGGAGCAGTTTATAAGATCAATTGCTGCGACTGCCACGCCTCTTAAATCGGTGAGACTGGCAGAAACCTCACAACTAGACTGACTGAACACAAACGAGCGACGAGGAAACATCACCGACTTACGAACCACACTATTGACTGGGACTCTGCGCAATGCCTAACCTACAACACCAACTACTTTCAACGACTGACTCTGGAGAGCTGGTTTACTAACTTGGAACAGACTTCCCTCAACAGGAGTCAACCACTACCGGCTCCATACAAACGACTCATCCACGACATTAACATTACTAACGAACCGAACAAAACGATCTACTTTACTAATGGATCGAGACCGACCAATCACGACCGACCTACTCCACTTGAGTCTTACAGCCAATGACATCACGGAAAAACTGACCAATCAGTTTATACAAAGCAGACTAAGAACATTCGACTGACAGCAACTATTCACTTGACTCTGAAGATGACTATCGCTCGAGTTGTCGAAACGTCGGCCACCACTACTGACAATAGTCCTTCTCAGGACTACACTCACCTGGACGATCAAACTACACTTTTATATTATGTTTTCTATGTGAGAAACTGATTAAAAGCAACTTTCTGCTTAAACAAAACGCTCTCCTTAACAGATGCTACTTTTTTGATAAGGGCGCAATATTCAAAGCACTAATTCTTCGACCCTGTTATCACCGGTAACTAAAATTATCGCCAGGTGTTCAGCTCTGCTTGGAGCTCTCATCATGAAATTTCACTTAATGGTTTGTTTATCTACTTGTTTAATGTTCTGTTTTTTTAAAAAGGACTAACATCGCGTTTTCTTCAGGATGTCGCTTATTCTTTTTCGTGAAGCCGAATAAAAAGGACTAACATCACGTTTTCTTCAAGATATCACTTATTCTTTTAAATGATTTGCGACTAATTAAACGAGATGCTTTCTAACTCCAATGCTCCCATTAGCTTTACGAGTCGCTTTTCTTCATGCCTCATAAGCCAATCTGGAAGCACATTCCAAAAATATCAGCAAACGTCCTCATATGTTTCTTTAGTTAACCTAGCTTCGAAAAATTAAGATGTCTTTCATGATCCTTTAAGACCTGAAAATCATTTATCAGTTCAATATGCATTTCAAAGTTACTACAGTAAATTTTGGCTTTTTCCCACAGGATAATACAATATCTGTTTATTTTTAATCCATGAATCCACATTTTGAAAAGCCAAACAAGTTGTAAACTAAGCCATACTTTCCAAGAGCTTTACGCTTTAAATAGGAAAACAATAACAGCTCTTGTTTACTGTGGATGTGTTTAGTACCTTAGAGCTAATTGAGAACATTGTAAACACATCGAAAAAAGGATAAATGAGACCGAAAACTCACCTTGTGGGAGGCAAAAGTGTTGGCTATTTTCAACGCCCAGCGAGGGATTTAAACTTGATACTACCTGGGCAACCACTTCAAATGGTGGAGAGAGGGAAGGATTTGAAATTGGGAAATTCCTCAATCTAGATCCGCTGATTGCCCTAGGCCATTTTGCATCTCCGCCAACGCAAAACATGGGTTTGTCGTATTTTTTACTGAGATGTAAACAAACGGACTGACAAGAGTAATATTAACGGGTGGAATTGTGAAGCTTAATTGATTTCATTAAAGCCAACAGGGATAAATTTCTAACATCTGATACATTACAGAATTAACAGTCTTACTCTATCGACATTTGCTTATCTTATGTATATATATGTAATAGTTGAGCTCGACTTATACTTAGAATGTCTTGACACATCTTGGTTTAAAATAAAGTAATTATGCTACAAACGTTACAGTTTACCTATGTTACCAAAATTACAATTTTTCCGACACAGACATTTTTGGACCGACTTAAGTCCAAACATTATGATGACAAGCTGTAAACTGCAGCCTCAATAATTTCCCTACCTCCTCAGCACTGCTTTCAATAATATCTGAAGAATAGATCCACCGCCGGCATATGACTGTAACGTGACGTTGAATATTCAAATGGCTACATACAGCCCTTGGCTTCGATTACAGGAAAGTCTTTAGCCTCAGCCAAAGAGCAGGTGGAATAACATGTCATAAGAACTTAAAAAGATTCACCAAAGGGGAAATGCAAATTTTTCAATAAGAATATGAATATTGTCTTTCATACCAAAGCGTAAATCATAGCGGCTTATTTCAATTTTATGACAATTTTAGACTCAGTCGTCCTTAGGTCCGACAAAGAAGTTGAAGGAGTGTTTTATTTTTTAATCAAGATTGCTCTCGATAAACGCCGATAAACTCTTTCCTAGGGGGAACTTTTCATTTACCTTTCGACCACGAAGAAACTTTTCATTTTGGGTGAGAAGAGGTTTTAATGAAAGTATTTTAAACAACCTACATAGGGGGTTAAGAAAACAAGTTATATCGGCACTGCAGCTCTGTGAAAGTAATAAACAACGTGATTCTGACGGACATGAAGAGTCACCGTAATGAAAGGAACGCACTGGATTTACATAACATGCAGCGGCCATTTAGAGATAAAAGCTGCCGAATATTCACCAGGTTCTGTCCTGGCATTCGCTTTCTCTATTTGTTTTGTTTCACGTGAATGCAAAGAGGTTTACCTCCCCCTTAACTTCACATTTTCCCTGTTTAGACTTGTAACAGTCAGAATTTTACCACAATTTAACCTTCATGCAATATACATTTAAGTCGTCCATCCATGATTACTGGTGGACAAAACAAGCATGAGTTTGTGAGCGTATATGTCTTTTTCAATTTCATGCGCGTTAGGTTATTCCAAACGGGACTAAAATTCTATCAGCTCTCTCAAATTGAGGCCTTCGAAATCATCTGTAGATGTCGCCCCCATTCTTATGCCAGTTTTCACATGATAAAAAGATATGAAATTTCACCCCTTCCAGTTCCGAAGAGTGGAGACATCCAAGTCTGTATAGAGACGCAGTGGCTAAACAGTTAAAGTGCTGGACTCCGGGTTGAGAGGTCCGGTTTGGAAACCTAGCTGGGTCATTGTGATGTAATCTTGGACAAAACACTTTATTACCACAGAGCCTCTCTCCACCCACGCGTTTAATAGGGTGTAGGTGAACTGTCATGAAAATCTTACGAAATTCCAGGGGTAACCTGTGAAAGATTAGTGTCCCATCCAGGAGGAGAGGGGGTAGCAAAACGTCCATTCCATTCAAATTGGGATAAGTTCCGGCTGGATGGGCCATTTGGCTTGAGTGTACACTCCACTTACGTGAGTCCGAACGTGACTCTGAACAAAGGTTACTTAGCGAGGAGGGGTTAATCTAGTTTGGCTATTCTTTACATGCAAACCATCACAAGCCAATGCATTTCACATGCATTCGCCAGAAATTCCTATGACTTAATCTCCTTTAAAATATTTCCCCTATAACATAATTTTACATCATTTCCCTTATCAAATTTTTTCTGATTTAGTGTAGTTTCAAAATTATTTAAATATTTCCGATCTTTTGCAAGGCTGAGGACTAAAATCCAGTGCATACAAAACAATTTGGCGAAATACATTTCAAAGTTACTACCATGTATCAAAGACAAACTCATTTACCTATCATTTCAAAATAACTCCAGTAGGGAAACTCGAGCCAGTCTCCCAACCAATAAGATGCAAAACTGTTTCCAATCATGATTTAGTCACTCATGAGTTTCTAATGTTAACGGTGCCTTTACGAAACTTTAAAATAAAGTGCACATTGAACGTGATCGTCCATAATGAAAAGGTTTTCCTTTATGTCCTCCAAACTAATTTATATCTCGTTTATATTTGGAAAAAGGAAGACAAGGGAATGAATAATTTCAACAAAGACAAAGATTGTCATGAGTAAAATCACATTACAATTTCATTTTTTTCTTTTAGCATAAACACAACTCTTTTCAGTAATTATGGCTCTTCTATAAATTATATTATATCTGAGCAAAACTTGTGTAATAATCTTAGGTTCATGGGCCTTAGAGAGGCCTTCAACATCACGTGCAAAATACTTTTTACTTTTAGCAGATTGCTAATATAACAAGTAGTCATAAGGACTCAATCAAGAGACGGAGGATTAATACATGAGAATCAACACATCTTTTGGCCCTACTCCGAAGGGTATATTCCAAAGTTGTTGGGAAATCATTGCAGTTTTCGAAGAAAGAGATAACCCGTCTAATCTCGCGAAATTGTTGTATGTTGACATTCCATGTAGGATCTTTCATTCTCCGATAATGCATTCGAACGATAAGCGAGATCTTCATAACATATTCAAAAATCCTGAGTCCGAAGATAACTTGGGAAAATTACCTTTGGAATAAGGCCTGTCTGCGGTTTCAGCCTCTCAGCTTCATTCTCTTACGGTTCCTAACAGATTGGTTTAGCATCGCATACATAAGACTATAAGGCTAGCAATAGAATTTAAAGTACCCTAAACTAGTCTTCAAAATCAGACCACCCTTCCTTACATCTATCTGAATAACAAAAGAGACCTAAAGAATTTGGTGCGGTTAATTACTAATATTGAGAGATCACTAACGACAGCTAACGAGTATTTTTTATGTAAATGTACTATCCCTGCATGTACATCACGGTATCTTGATTAATAAAGCAAATTGTTGGATAGGTTGCATTTATTGTGAGATTGGCACTGTGTTTTAATTCCAGCTTTGGTTCGCTTAGGAGGTTTGCCTTTGCTACAGAACGAGGCTGACGAACAGTTTTCCAAGTCTCATTAAATGACACTAATTATCTAGATAGCCAAGGAATGGCCTCTTGTGTTGTTCCCAAGACTCTTACTGAACTTCCAAATTCTTCCGAGAATAGTTATATAGAGATCGACATATTAAAAATGTAATTAAAAAACCACTACATCCATTTTCACTCACATTACCATGTAAACACATTTAAACTTTGAATTCCTTTTACAAATTACGTAGGAAATATTTCAATTCGTTAAAAGGCCACAGCAAGATAGTCAAAGTTTTGCCATAATAGGTAAATTCATGCTCTATGGTACCTAAATAAAAAAAGATAAAATTTGAGGTTATTCGTAATTTGAACACATTTCAGTGTTCTTTAGGTTCACTACAGAAGCCCTCTTCATTGCGACCAACCCAACTGAGAGTGAGGTTAGTCCGATTTTATTTGAGCTATGAAGCTCTTGAGTTTCAAATATGGTAAAGTTCACCAATTTTGGGCGACGTACTTTCATGGTGCACGATTAGAAATCCTTGACTTAACAACTGTCATAGGTGAAATACAATAAGAAATTTGCTAGAGTTCATACGAGCAAAAATTACTAATAAATCAGTGTTCCCCTACAAACCTTGAGAAAAATCGTTTCGGTACGCAATAGTTTGCAATGCCAATGAACCGGGCTGTCGGAATTGAAGTAGAGTTAGATGACTGGTTAAGTTACAGCCGAGGGAATCTTCTCACTCACAGAATGATGCAGTAGTTTGCATGTTTTCTATCCTCGTCACTTGAAATGCCCAAGTGGTTAGACACGAAGCTATTAAGGAACTGTTGTACATCTTTATTGCCCTCTTTTTCAGCAATCCCCATTGCTGTGTCTCCATCATGAGTGCGCTTCACAATCATCTCTACCCCTTGTTTGAGGAGAGCATCAGCGACTGCCACTGTCCCGTCCTTGGTAGCAGAATGATGTAAGGCATTCCATCCATTCTTGTCCACAGCATGCGTGTCAGCTCCATGCGTCAGAAGGAAACTTACTAACTCCGGGTGACTGTAGCGGGAGGCGATATGTAGGGGAACTGAACCGTCTCCCGCTTGGCAGTTTAACTGCATGCCAAGCTTTTTCATTCGTTCGATTACCTTTTTGTGGCCTCCACGACAAGCGTAATGAAGAGTATTCCATCCCTCATTGTCAACTTCGTAAATGTTACCACCCCGTTCTAATAAGCAGTCAATGACGTCATTATGCCCTTTTAACCCAGCACAATGCATAGCGGTGACGCCTTGTTGTGTTTTCTGGTTGGGATCCACCCCACTTTCCAGTAGGATTTCCACGATCTTTACGTGACCCTCGAGGCTTGCTAAATGCAATGCCTTCCTTTCTTGGTTATCAGAAGCTTCTACATTGGCCGCATGCGACAATAATGGAGCAATCACTTCAGTTTGTCCGCTCTTAGCAGCAAGAAGAAGGGGGGTTAAATTGTCTCTGGTCGTGCAGTCCACCTCCACACCAAGCTCCAATAGCAGTTCAAGAATAATCACGTGACCATGATGACTTGCGATGTGCAATGCATTCCACCCGTCGTTGTCGGCAATGTGCTCGTCAGCTCCCTTCGAGAGAAGTAATCTTACTGCTTCTGGGTGATCGTGGATCGTAGCAATACTAAGAGATGTTCTCCCGTCCGTTGTTTTTTCACTGGTATCCAAGCCAAGCTCGAGTATTGTTTCTATTGCGATAGTATGCCCATTTTGACAAGCAAAGTGTAACGCGTTCCAACCTTGGTCGTCAACAGCTTTAAGATTTGCTCCTTTAGAAACAAGTAGGTTTAAGGCACTTGCGTGGCCGTTGAATGCTGCGGAATGAATAGGGACCAGGCCCCTCTCAGCTACAACGTTTGGTTCCAATCCGTAGCTTAATAAAGTTTCGATCAAATCCGTTTGCCCTCCTTGACTGGCAAAGTGAAGGACAGTCATTCCTTCGTTATCCACAACATTTAGATCAGCCCCCTTTGAGAGTAAATACTTAATACAATCCTGATTTCCGCGCAATGCTGCAATACCAATGGGCATCAAACCAGAATTTGTTCCGACGTTTGGGTCAATTCCCTTGTTAAACAATTTCTCGACAACTGAAAGCTCACCACCCTTGCAGGCATGATGCAAAGCAGTCCACCCCTGATTGTCTCGAGCTAAGATGTCTGAATTTTGAGTTGAAAGAAAATCTACGTACTCTGGAAGGCCATGTCTAGCCGCAATGTGTAACGGAGTTATTCCTAAGACTGACTTGGCATTTACATCAAGACCTTGATTTGAAATTGATT